ATATAAAAATGATGAGTTTGTTTATTTTTTTGTTTTTACTATATGAAAAACCTATTTGCTTTTTATATGCCAATTCTCAAAAAAGGTATTAGTAGACAAATAAACAACGCTCACGCTTAAGCCCTTATGAATCGCAAAAAAAAAAAAATCGAACGTTAAGCGTAGAAATACCATAATAGATCGAGCAGGCCATATACTAGTAATATGGGAACCGAAGGAGTGAACCAGAAGAAAAGGTTTTTCATGTATAATAATGATACACTCGCTAAAGCTATTCGCTGGCGGGGCACCAGTGGTGGATGATAGGATGAGCATGAAGGCAAGTCAGACATTATGGCATATTATATTTATGGCGTTTCCAGGGACCATGTGGAGGTCGATTTAACGAGGTACTATACTAGCTATGAAGCCACTAAAGGCCCTTACTAAAATTCCTTTCACTCCGCGGGACGTGACTGTCCGATATTTTTTTAAATATAAGCGGCACGTAAAACCGTGGGACACAGCCAGTGTCCTTAAATATAACAAAGCCGTAGTAACAAAACAACGAACTTGATTTTATACTCGCGTTGGATAGTGCAGTACCATGCTCAGTTTCGCAACATGCTGTAGAGCAATCACAGAGAGGTCACGGCTCTGGATAAAAGTAATTACCTTTTATCTATGAATGTGATTTTTCGTAGCTAAAATTAAACAGTTGTTGTGTAATTTCGAAGATCTAGAAATCTACTAAATATTTTTGCATTAATTTATACTATTGCATTGTTTTATGAGATATCTATTAATATTCCTTTATCTACTTTAAATTAAATTAAATATTTTCGAACATCTTCCTCAATTAATTCCTCTTTTCCTTTAAGTGAAATTTTTGAATTTTTTTGAAGAAATTTGAAACATTTTGGCCTTCAAGACGACAAATAAAAATATTGCATAGAGTAAAATTCTAAAAGTTGAAGATTCCTAAGTTTAATCTTTTTTTAAGTGTTTACGTACTTATAAATTAGCATAGTTGTATTACTTTTAATGTTTAGATGATGTTCTGAGCTCATTCATCTTGGTATTGACTTGTTTTGAATATTATACGTGCATCAGTGACGCAAGATCCAACGCTGCGACGGTCATTTCGCCGCGTAGGGAAAGGATTGTCTATCAAGACGTGATTACAGAGCACCATATTGTATTACTCATTGCACAAACTTGAATTCGATAGCAGACTTTAATTTCGTAAAGCAGTCTACATTCATTTCGGATATTACTTAAAATTCATACAGTTTTTATATCAATGATACCGTTGATATTGAGTACGTGATAAATATACATATATTCATTTTTATCATTCCAGATGGAGCATGGTTATGGACGAGAATGGTACGGTTTATCTACCTGCGCTAATGGTACATATATACTACTACTACTGACACGGAACTTTGCTAGCACAGAGACACTAGTCTCTATTACGAACAATTCCCACCCCCCAGTCAAAAGCCCACATTTTGCTTAGTATATTGAAATCCAACATGGCAAGGAGCAACCCATAAGGTATATTGTTTCCTTAGCGTATCATTAGAGTGAATTTACTTTTTAGACATTTTAGGCATAATTAGGGCACATTTGGGGTCTAGTCGGCCAATATACCTAGTAGCACAAAGCTCTATATTACTAAAACAACATACATGTACATACTACAGCATTCAAAAACTATATTTTCTATACTCATTAGTAAACTGTGATTGTTAATAAGTCACAGTATAATATTAATTAATTAAATTATTTTTTTAAGTGGTATAGCTCGGTGTATGATTACACATTGTTTTTTTTTTTGAGACTATCCTTATGCTGTTGGCCGCAGTTGGCCTTTACAGCTTCACCGGACAATAGGGGCGAGTGGACATGGCATTCCATGGCAACCCCGCCTGACGGATACAGCTTTAGTCTAAGAACACCGCTAGAGGTTCGGACCTCATCTCATCTCTCCTATCTCTTTCTCTTAATTATTATAATACTAGTACCATAAATTTCATTCCACCTACCTTCCTACTACTATGAACTATCCTCTACCCACCCCTTAAAAAGCCGACAACTCACCTCTAATTCCCCTTGTTGGAAACTATTTTATATACCTTTTTTAGTGTCTATATTTTTTATAATATTATATTGTTTTTATATGACATAAGTCAATTTAATACAAAAATATTCTACAACTACAACGGTGCTGTTTTACTTTTTGCTCGTCATCGTGGTCTCCATCCTTTACACCCCTGGTGTTGCTGGTGCTGGTGGCGGTAATTACCATAAGGTGTGCTGTAAGCTCGTTTGCCTATGCTATAAAAAAATAAAACAATTAAGAAGTTTAAATAACGCCCAATAAAAAAACTTCCATTGTGTAAGATATTGTAGTTAAGAACCACATCGATAACGTCAGCTTTCAAATATTATAGCTATTCAATAATAGCTTTCAATATCAATATATAAAATAACCGCATTATAATCGGTTCATTTGTTTAGGAACTGCGATGCTACAGACAAAGTCAGACTTATAATACATATGTTTTTGCTTCGGGGTTTAAAAAGTGGGAAGCATGCAAGTTTGATGTACACGACATAATAATATCTTATGGAGTCGATATTTTGATAAATGCTGGTAGCTAGATAATATTGGTTATTAAATGGATGCTAGAGGAAAAATTCAGAAAATACTGAACATTTTTTGTCCCAGGAAATATATTTCCACTTATAGAAGAACAAGCTGTGCCCGCGGTGTCACCCGCGTTAAATTGTAATAATAAATTTCAATATAAAATATAGCCTGTGTTATACTGATGCATAAGCTATATTACTGTAAAGTTTCTTCAAAATCCGGTCAGTAGTTTTTGCCTGAAAGAGTAATAAAAAACCATATTATGTGTGTGAGGTGAGTTAACGTTTTCACTGATTATCAAAAGCAAGCATGCAAAGTACGGCAGTCCAAATGTTTTGTGTACAAGCTTAAAATTACAAAATACCAATCTAATATACCTACTAATAAAACCAATAACTTCTGAGGAGTGGCAACACGTGAAGGATGTCATGGACGAAACTGTATTTCTATTTAATGTCTATAGCTGACGTTTATCACTTTCCATCATGTGGGTTGTCAGATGATTTACCATATTCAGTACCTACTGCCTGTATACAAAGGCTTTGCCCCCCATCATTTCGGGTAAAAATCTATATGACATATAAAAATTTCGTCGCCGTGTTTTTCTCTCCTCCGTAACGGCTTGTCCGATTTTTATAAAAATTTGGATGTATATTTCGAGGCTTTTTTATACCTTTAGGTAATAAGGGTGTATCCAGAAACAAATTATATGGCAAACATTCGCCTTGTCAGTTAGACTATATATAACTATTTTTATAGCGTTTCGTCTGTATGAAATATTACCAAACAACCAGATATGTAGTATAATATATATAGCTTAATAGGTTATGATATTTTGGCATATATTTTTAAGTATTTCAAAAATAATCTCTGCTCGCATTATAATTGCCCGACTAATAAGCTACACGATACGTAATCTGATACATAAGCATTCATTATGATTGCACACTCTCGTAATTCCCATGCAACCAAAATGAGTGCTTTGTTCAAAATGTTCAGCTACTGATGTGTATTCGCACGAAGTGCAGATGTTTACTTATGAACCATTCTACTGACAGGTTTTATGTTTTAGTAAAATAAATATAGTAATTATTGTAAGTGGTGAGCGGAAGGCCGCTGGCGTCATCAATTCATCTTTAGGAACATTAAGTATGTGGGCAAGTAACTATATAATAGTTTATATAAACTAGGTACCTAATTAGGTAAAGTTAATATTAATTTCATGTAATGTAACTGTGTTGTGTCATTTATTTAATTATCTAACTTTATAGTAACGAAGTTAGTATTGGTTGCCGTGGTAAAAGAACTAAATCGTTTAAGATACTAGTAAAAAGCGTAAAACTATGTAGGTATCTACAAGAAAATTACAATCGAATAGAAAATATTGCTATACTTGGAGTTTCTCTAAGGGATAAAATCTAAAACGAAGTTATTCGCCATGGAACTAAGGTCACCGACATAGCTTTTCGTATTTGTAATTTGAAATAACAGTGGGCTAGTCATATCTGTCGCAGAACCGATGCTCGCTGGAGTAGATGTGTTCTAGAGTGGAGACCGCGAACTGGCAAACGTAATGTAGAACGCCCCGCAGCTAGGAAGAGCAACGACATAGGTAGGGTTGCGGGTAATAACTGGAAGAGAACGGCTGAAGGTCGTAGTGTGTTGGGAGAGGTCTATGTCCAGCAGTAGGCTGATGTTGATGAGAAAATATTTATTTGGATAGCGGTCGGTTGACAATTACATGAGTAGATATATTTTATATATATGACACCATAATTACTGATGTATGTAATACTCATGAATCAACTAACAAATTAAATGTTTTTAGTGAATACGAAACACTCGCCCCTAAATAAAATATAATTACAATAACTACCTAAAGAAGTAAAGATATTTAATCATAATTCAATAAACATTTATTTTATTTATATATTAAACATTGCTAGTGAGCCACAAAGATCATTATGTAATGTATGTATGTAAGTGTACCTTTTTGAATATACGCGAACTTGAGTACACAGGAGGATAGCCCTTGAAAATTATATGCACCTCTCTGAAAATTATATACATTTCAAAATATAATGCATTATATACTGTGTCCGCTGTAGCATGGTGCGGGTGACAGTTACTAATTTTACATTACTTAATACAGTTATGAATGATTTAACATATTACGAATGTGATACAGCTGGAATACTAAGTCATAATTAGTAAATCACAGCAACTTTTAAGAGTGAAACGAAACATTAATGAAACTGACACTGTATAAAAAAAGTACACATTTGATCAATTTTGCATGTAGAGTCATTAATAGATACTCAAATAAGCCAACTTCTTCGTGGTCTCTTGTAATGAATTGTAAAGAATTAATTACAACAGGACTCGTATCAAGCTATTGGGAATTCTACTGTCCAGGATTCTATAGGTACTTACGAATTCTAAATAAAATTTCCATTATGTTATGCTAACTATATTGTTACACTAATACTATTTACATTTTATTGGCTAATTTATTTCCTTTTTCTCTTTTCTGCACGGCTACCACCCATGTCCTCTAGTTGTTGCTTGAGATCCAGGAGTTGATTATCAGGAACATATCTAATTTCTTCGTGTTCGATAGCATGCTCGTGCACATTGAGAGTGCAACCTTGTGGTAGCGTAGCTCGAGCTACTCGTAACAGCGTTCCCAAAGCCCACGCGGGAACGTCGTTGACCTAAAACCGTATTCATATGGTATAATCATAATTTATATCAACCTCAAGGTAGTTTCCTTAGTATGCTGTGCCAACTTTGAAGGGTGAGATTTAGCAGTATTACAAGGCATGGCAATGCATTTAATACTAAGGAATGGTAACGCATATGGCGGGGGACGGGGATTGTTAGTAGTGGGAATTAGGAACTCCCATTGCTAGCAATGTACCATGTTAGGTCGACCACCACGTGGTACCCCCTGGAAACCATCGTGATAAATTCTTGGTGAATTTGTCACGATGTGCTAACTGACTTGACCTCATGCTCATCTTATCATCCTCCACTGGTGCCTCGCCAGCGTAAACCGTTAGCGCAGGCGGGTGCACCATACCGTCATTACACAAAAAAAAACCCATATGGCATCATCATGGAGGATGATTTCAACACATGTATAGTTTATCCCTTCAATGTCAGACAGTCATGTTGTCTCCACAACATTTCACCACAAATAAAGTCCTGGATTGGCCAAATTAAATACTTCTAGACCTTTTATTTTCTGATTCCATCTTGTGATAGGTATACGCCACTGGAGCGCCTATCTTCTTTATAGACGTAGTTCACTCCTATGAATCTTTTCCTCATTTACCTTAGCGCCACTGTTTCCTATAGATCTTCAGTTTCGGATTCTATTATACAATGAAATTTTGAAGATAACCACAACTTTGGTTATGTTGAAATACATAAGAAGTAGTAGCCTTATAAAGTTGTTTTGTATAAAAAATATGTAATACCTGAACATTACGCTCATAGACATTAAGATGATATTCAGTGTCAATTGCTGTTCCACCAGGTTTAAACTTCTGCACCTTCAACTGCTGTGCTGGTGTAGCCCAACTAGTTGTAGAAATAATTATAAATTAATAATAATATAGTATATTTGGGTACTACAGACAATTAATTAAAAATATTATCATTATATTATACACTATCTGACCTTTTTGTATCTAAAATACTCATAAATAACACAGGGTTCAACAATATGACAAATATTAAATATTTATAAGTAGGGCTTAGATAAGATTGTTAACATAGATATCCAACAAAATAATGTGTTAAGAATTCATTGACAAGCTATTAATAATTAGGATGGATAGAATAGTGTTGTTGGTCTAGTGGTTGGTTGTTGGTTGGTCTACATTCTGTGGTTGTGGGTTTGATTCCCCACATGGTACAAATATTTTTATTCATGAGTGTGATTGTTTGTATCAGTCTGGATGTTTTCTATGTGTGTATGATGTATGTATTTAAAAAAAAATGTATCTAATTATTTACATAAGTTGTCTAGTACCCACAACACAAATTACTAGAATTGTTAATGTGATACACCACCAGCCAGCAGTATTTTTTAATAGATTATAATGGAATGTTGCATCTCAATTGCAATCAGTATATGTTGGCAGGGCACTGGTGGAGAAAGATAAGAGAATGAGGTCAGGTCAATTAGCATCATCATCACCAATCACCAGGAATTAACCACAATGGTTTCCAGGACATGATACATTACAGTTATGTTGAGTATGGTATGTGTATGCTGTTCAAACCTACCACTCATCGACCTGAATGCCCATCACCTCAGCATATCTGTGGATTTGGCTTTGGGCTGCTTCTAGTAATGTAAAGTCATAGCCCTTTAATTGGAGATTTAAGCAGTCAAACACAGGTTCATCTGGCTCCATACTCTGAAAACACAACAATAAATAATATATTATCAAGAATTAATAGTGTTTCTGTGATAAGTCATGCTTCAGGAATATGATTTATTTCTTATTTATTAAAGCTTTGTTTTCCATATAATTATAATTTTAAATATATCTTTCAAGTTTAATTAATTCTCCTCCAACTTGCTCCATGATTTTCTATTTGTACACTCATTCAATTTTTCCTTGCTATTTCTTTTATGTTAGTGAATGTCAAGAAATATGATTAGAGTTTTAATATCTATGTATATGATCTGCATCACACCTATATGATCTGCTAAGTAGATAAAAAAATGTATTACAATAGAAATGGTACATATATTTACAAGCATTAAATATTTAGAATATTTAATGTAAATAAATATATAATTGTAAATTAATTAATCATAACATGTGTTTTGTGTTTATAAAATATAAATAATAAAATTATGAATATATTATAACTCTTACAATGAGATAATCAGGTTCATAGAGATCACTTTTAAATTGCTTCTGTTGATGCTGCACATATGATCTCCCACCAAGTACTTGTTTCCTTGTTACATTCCAGTTGTTTCTTAGCTACAATTTAAAATGATCCTTTATCTGTGTCCTAGATTAGATTGCTTAAGGTACATAAACCTGTTGCATTGCATGCATTTACAAAGTTACATCTAGATTTTTTTTCTATTGAACAGAACCTTTGCCCTATATATGTTACAATATATTTTTTTTTATTGCAATGTAATGCATTCATGTTTGGAGCTTATAGTGTACACTGCCAGCAATGCAGCTAATAGTAGTTATCTTTAATATTAACAATCTCATCTTCCCTTATTTGTAATATTACTGCTTGACTGTTTTAATTTCTAATTGAAATACAAGGCATAACCATTTTAATTACAGGTACCAATAGGTGACATAACTAGACAAATATTTGTTAGAATATCCTACACACTAATAAATATTTTTCGAACACGGCTTCTAAAGAAACCTTATAACTAAACCTTAAAGTATTAAGATTGTAAAATTAAAATTATAAAAATACACTCACAAATTTAATCATGTTTGATCCAAACATTTTGACCAAATTACACTATGAGGCCGGAAGTAAATTATTAATTGATCATAATATGTTCACCAATTTAAAAACAATATTATTGAGTATATATAGCTACTTTCAGGTTATAAAATTTTAGATGCTATTGAAACTATAGTTAAAAAGGTAAGATATTATTCTAGAACTCTCTGAAAAAATATTGCATAGATTTATATAAAAGTAAAATAGTTTATTCTTTTATTTTCAAAATATATGCATTTAAATTAAATGTAACAAATTAATTCTAATTTGAACAAAATTCCTTTTCTTTGTTTGACATTTCATGGAATGACAATAACATTTTTTTTTTCCATATTCGTCCATCTCCTTTTCAGTGATGGAACAGGCAAAGATCCTTAGACCGTACAGCCTAGTCTACTTTTAAACTTCTTCATATTTGTGACAATGAGCAAGTGAGCAATCATCATTGACAATATTTCTTCTCTCATTGACATTGACTAAAGACATCAAAGATATGCAATCTAAATAAAAAAACTTGAGACAAAATCGAGTTTAATATCGCGGAAAACGATGCACCGAAATGCGACGTGGCATACATCATCAGATAATATTAATATTAATTGATTTAACAGATGTTTTTTAATTACATTACAATAATAATTAATAAGTAGTTAATTATGAACTAAAATAAAAAGCTTAAAAAAAAAAATAGAATATGATAACTAAAATATATTATTAAAAGTGGTCCCTTTAGGCAACGTTCCGAACATACTGGCAGCGTTCCCTCTTTGAATAGCTAGACTAATTCTTTGTCCAAGGTAGCTGCCAGCTCTTCGGTCTTTTGTGATGTCGACTAACCTTTTCGTTATTTCTTTGAAAAGTCTTATAGCGCTAGGACCCCACGGACCAAGGGTCTCGACACCGAATGGAACAAATTCATATTCGGAGCCTAGACCCCTGTATTTACATATTTTGGCTTTTTCAGCCGCTTCACATGCCGCACCAGCTCTGTTGTTGGTTCCATGTAGATGGGATGGGGCCAGCGTGTCTGCACAGGTTGCATCCCATACCAGCACCCGGCCCATCTTCCATGGAATCAAACTCATACCGTCCGGTCTCTTACCATCGTCTCTTGCAATACCAGTCGGCTCAAGTAGACTTGGTACGTTGACGGTGGCAAGGGACCGGCGTATGATATCGTTAAGTGCGGCATGTCTCGAGAAACGGCCCGCACTTTTTTGGCATGACAGTCCGTGATGTCCTAGTTTGTCGACATCACTGCCACAGGGACATTTGTGAGGAGCGCAGACCGGAACCCCAAGCCGTAGACAGGTTGCTATTCGGAGCGTGTCAGGCTCAAGAAATGTTCCTGTATTTGACGAAGGGTACGCGTGAAGCCAGTAGCCGGCCTCAGGCGCACCCACGGCCAAAAGCCTAGCACGCACCGAACCTGTACTACAGCTCAAAAGGTTGTCGTATATCAATTTACAACTTATGTCGTCCCAGCTCCGCTGTGAATTTGGAGATATTGGAAAATTTTGACCTGGGCATGCAATTAAGAAAGCGTTCCTAGCTTCTTCCAAGCCGGCAATCTCAAAGTTTGAAGGGCATGCCCTTAAAATTTTACTTATGAGAATTGCTGAACTATGGACAGAAGATAGGAAAGCTGGTAAAGCGACAGAGGAAATTTTGCGAATCCCTAAACCACCATAACGGATGGGTAGGGATGCTTGGATCCAAGATGGCTTGTTTAGCTGCATATTAAGAACCGATTCTAAGGTAATTTTTATTAAATCGTCTACTTGAGTCAAAAGATTTGGGTATTTCCAGAATGAGCAGCAACGGAGCACATACGTAAATTTTGGGACGAAAAGACAGAATTTTAAGATGCAAAGTGCATAATGTGGACTGATTTCAAGTAGACGGTCAGCAGAATTTTGAAATTTAGCAATTGAATTATTAATATATTCGGAAACAGATTCATCAAAAATTGGAGATCCTAAAAGGTAAAGGGAATTACTGTTAACTATTTTAATATTTGGAGCCAGAGTATTGAATTTTTGTTTTACATCGTTTAAATTTAAGTCGGTGTTATTTATAAAAAGTTCGCATTTGCTAAAATTAAGCTCCAAACCAATGGCTTCAAATTTATTTTTGATTAAAAAAAGGTCCGAAAACACAGTATCCACATCACCTCCCAGAGATCCGTCGTCCAAATACCAAACATTAAATTTAGAATTTAGATTTTTTATTATCGGATTTATAGCCAAACTAAAAATTGCAGGCCCAAGGGGATCACCCTGTTGACAACCTACTTCCGAGGACAGCTCATTAGAACGATATAACAATTTTGTTGGGTCAGCGTAACTGAGAAGTAGATAATTGTATATTTCCGGTGTGTGTTGTTTTATTTCCGTTAACAGGGTATCCCTATTTACCGAATTGAATGCATTTTTGACATCAATTTTGAGCAACACGTCAGGCTGCCCGTAAGTTAGGAAAGAGCGTAGGGCATGGACGGCTGCCTCACATCCTCCTTTTACACCGAAGCCTAACTGTACGGGTTCGAATTCCGAATTTAATTTTGGTAATATATGTCGAACAGCAATTTTGGAAGCCAGACGTCGTAGTGTTGAACCAACAGCAATTGGTCTCACCCCTCCGTCCTTTTTGGTAAGGGCAATGAGGTTCGCCCCGAAAAGAATGGGAACAATTTCTGAATTAACAAGACCGGAATACATAAAGTTGATTAATTTAGTGATCGAATTTACAAGTTGCTCACCTGCATCACCCACAGAATACGATGTTAGGTCTTTCAAATGTTGGGATGAGATTCCATCCAAACCTGCAGCCGAACCTGGTTTAAAGGATGAAATGGCATCCGTCACATCTTTGTTTTGAATTTGAAGGCATATTTGCCCTGCTGTTGGTGGGTCGAGAAAAAATGGATTTACTGGAGCTGGAGGATGTTTTGTCCGTAGGGCCTCAAGGGTGTCAGGGGTATCTGGTGATAGCACGTCGTTTGAGAACAAAAGGCGAGCGGCTCCTTTGAGATCTCCGTCGCAGATTTTGTTCTCGATAAGCTTGTTCTGATTGCGAGGGGTATCATGTTTGATTGGAGGTACGGGAGAAGGCGAGGAGCTTACAGCACAGTTATTCTTTATCTTTTGTGTCAACGATAAATTCGGTTCATCAGTTTTTATTGTATGTAGTGTACTGTATGAGAATAAAAATAGGTTCTGCCAGTCTTGAGTACAATTGCTTACATAACATTTCTGGATTAATTGTGACAAATGTGTAGCAACTGTTATTCGAGCTCCTCGAGGTATTCTTTTGACTATTGGTATACTGTTTTTTAAATGGCTGAGATATATGTGGAAAGGAGTTTGGTCGTTGGCTGCATAAGTAGGCACACTCGGAGTAAGGGGATGGGTAATTAAAGGTGAACTGTTTTGGCTGATACATTTTCTGTGTGTTTTTGTAGTGTGTATGTTGAGGCCTTTCAATGTTTTGAATGTCTTTTTGCATTGTGTACATGTATGGGTCGCGTTCGATGTGCCATCACAAGATTGGGTCACGGACTGCATTCTTTATATATATATATATTTGTATAACGGTATGACTGTAGCTGCACTAATTAATAAAAACAGAGTAACGCGTCATCCAGTTAAGGTGACATGTGTCGATACGAGTTGCCTTATAAAGCATTTTATAATTACCTAAGTGGCCACAGTGCCATACCCACATATATCGTTTGATAATAGTAATATATTTACCGTCCAACTATCTGCACGTGATTCGTTATGCACGTTGACGCAAAAAATAATATAATTAAAATAAGGGACGAAAAAGCCGACCAAAAGACGTCAAAGAATGAGATGTAGAAAGCGGCAGAAAACTGCAGTAATGCGGTTCAATGGTTTTAATTGTAATTTTAGGCTAAAAATAATCTGTAATATAATAATCTGTAATCTAAAAATAATTTATGTTTCCCAAAACGGATTCTGTATATTTAGGGTCGGATACTGTTAATAATCGTAGCCATAACATTATTTATCTTCTGTATTAAAAAAAAATAATAGTAGAAAAAATATAATGTCAAATAATGTCTATGCTCCATCATCCTTCATACTTTGATACTCGTTGTATTTCATGGGTTCAAAGAAATGGCTAAAAAGGTGCAAGTAGTATAAAATTTTAGTTTAAAAATAATATATTCCTATTGTCTGTTATAGTAAATGGTGAATTGTTTTACGACTCAGTACTATACACCGTTTTTTTAAGGATATGGCGTCAACGGGCAGTACACCTTTTCCTAAATGGCAACTAGCTATTCTTTTAGGTGCTCCTTTAGCCATTGGTTTAGGTTACCTTTATCTAAGAAATAGATTAGAAGATTCTGAAAATAAGAAAGTCACGGATCTGAAAACCAAGACAACGATATCTTTGGATAATGAGGAAAATAATACCAAGGCCTCTGAAACCGCTATCGACCGCGCAATGAAATTGAAAGGCGCCGGAAACCGTGCTTTCCATGCTGGCGAGTATGATAAAGCTATATCTCTGTATAATGAAGCTATTGAGGCATGTCCTCCTGATCGTCCAGTAGATCTTGCTACTTTTTATCAGAATCGTTCTGCGTGTTATGAGAAACGTGAAATGTGGGAACAAGTTAAAGAAGATTGCACGTTTGCACTTAAGCTCAATGAGAAATATGTGAAAGCATTCCTGCGAAGGTCTCGTGCAGCAGAGAAAAGTGGCGATCTTGTTCTAGCTTTGGAGGATGTTACTTCTGCTTGTATCTTGGAAAGATTTCAAGTTCAGAGTTCTTTAGTCAATGCTGATCGTATACTAAAAGCATTAGGTAGACAACATGCTCGAGAAGCTCTTGCTAAACGGCGTCCTGTGATGCCTTCCAAACATTTTATTAAAACATACTTTTCTGCATTTTCTGAGGATCCCATTTCTAAAATGCAACTTGATGATAAAGTTACTGGTGGTTTTGCAAAGGCAAAAACTGCCCTCAATGCTCAGGATTATGATGCCATTGTAGATGCTTGCACAGATGAATTGTCAGGTAATGGAAAGTACAAAAATGAGGCTTTGTTATTACGTGCAACATTCTACTTGCTTTTGGGAAGACATGATGAGGCCCAAGCGGATCTTGGAATTGTTATTGACAGTGATGCATCAACTAAAGTGAAAGTCAATGCATTAATCAAGCGTGCATCTCTTTACACTCAATTGGAGAACACTGACCACTGTTTGGAAGACTTTGCTCGAGCAGCACAACTAGATGCAAATAATTCAGATATTTACCATCATCGTGGTCAAGTATACTTGTTATTAGAAAGAATGGATGAAGCAACAGCAGAGTTTGCAAAAGCTGTTGAACTGAACCCTGACTTCTCCATTGCTTATATCCAAAAGTGTTATGCTGATTATAGACATGCACAAATAAATAAAAATGTTGGTGCTTTAGCTCAAGTGAGAGCTGATTTTGAACGGGCATTGGAAAGATTCCCACGATGTGCCGAAGCATATATATTGTTTGCACAAGTTCTTTCAGACCAGCAGGAGTGGGGACGTGCTGAGTCACTATTTGATTCTGCTCTATCAGTGGATCCCAATAATGCCACATTGTATGTTCACAAAGGGCTTGTACAGCTACAAAAGAGTACAGACTTTGACAAGGCTGTCAAACTGATCAACAAAGCTATTGAAATGGATGACAAATGTGACTTTGCTTATGAAACACTTGGCACCATAGAAGTACAGAGGTGAGACTTTTATATAACTGTAACTATATTTGATTTGATTAAAAAGCATAATATTCTATATTATTTTGTTAACAGGATATACTTATTTTTTTTGTTCTCATCAGAAATGTGTGATTTGACCTACTTACTATTTATGTATTACTGTACTATTCATCTAAATAATACACACAGTTTCATCAACTGTTTGCAATTCATTGAAGACTATAATGGCAGAGAGCCAATAAAAATTTAGGACATGTAGTGTCAGTCAGTACTGTTCTTATATGTTTTATAGTAACTCTTTTTTATTTACCAGTCTTGTAAGTAATATGGATTATATTTATCATGTGACACTTATTTCTCTTATCAAATTTTATCTACAATCTACTTCAACTATACCTCTTATGTAATATTTTGTATCAAAAAGTTAATATTATTCCATTATAAAAAAAATAATATTATTATAAGAGTAATCTCTTATGTGGCAAAATTGACTAAAAAAAAATAATCATATGTTCTATTTATTATTTTAGATTTTATAAAATACAGTGGAACTGCAGTAGTCTGGCCCCCCTTGTAATCCGACATGGTCTATTATTTATTATTTAATATTTTTTTGACAATCATCACTAATGTATGACTGAACAAGTTTGAACTTGTATGCATCATGACTGTTGTACTGAATGCGTAGGGTATTGTTTTGATTATGATTGCTTAGTTTCAATTTGACTACTTATGAAGATAGCGGTACAATATAGCATGTGTTCATTGTTTACTGTTTATTATTTGTGTATTATATACCAGCTCAGAGGTGAAAGAACAAAACACTTTCAATTAAAGAAAAACATACTCTTTTGTAAAAAATTCCAGACTATAGGGGTCCCTTAGGCCATACTCTATAATGCGACAAATTCGATGGTCTGACACTGACCTACAAAACGTTTGTCCGATAACCAGGGGTCCACTGTAGTTTGAGCTCTTTATCTATAATACAAATACAAATTCAGATTATTAGATAAAGATAGATTGTGAGGACTATGAGTAACACAAAATATTATTTAACTAAAACCTATATACTTATTTTTTGTATACAGTGTTTTTCTTTCAAATTAAAGAAATAGAAAAGGACACTACAGTTTAACAGCTTTGAGTTCTTAGAGTACATTTGAGTTTTTATTAAAATGATTATGAAGCTACTGTTCCATTATTTTAATATTAATATTTAATGTTTAATATTTTACAGGGGAAATCTCAGACGATCATTAGAATTGTTCGAGAAGGCTATTGCATTGGCTAAAACAGAATTGGAAATGACACACTTATTTTCATTAAAGGATGCAGCTGCTGCACAGTTAAAGGTTTCAGAGCGTTGGGGACTAGATTGGACTGTGAGCTAGGTTTCTCTGCATCCAAGGTTATCATCCAAACAATGAGAATATTATTTAGTTTACAAAATTCATCTTGCATGTTAAATACTATATACATTTATTTTAAATTTTTTTTTCATTGAATATATTTGAATTTGTCCATTTTAATAAATTTTGCAACAAATATATTTTATGTATTATATTTAATATTAACGCCAATTACAGACTGCTAAGTTAAATACTCTTCTCATTGGATGGAAATATTTACCTAGCCGTCGCCAACTCCTACACTGCTTTCAAACATTATAAAATGGAAATATATTCACTAAGCTGAAATTTGTCAGATATAAATTTCTGATTAGTCTAATTGTACTATGTAAATACATACCATTCTCAATTCAATGTTGACAACTTAATTACTCACATTATTTCATGGGATATTCAATATAATGTCAGGGTTTGATCTGTAACAGTGTCTAAACATTGGGAATGTACAAAAATGTTAATCATGGTACATATCCTTTTATGTAATGTGCATTTGTAAGTAACCAAGTCAGATATTTAAAGATCATTGAAATCCTGAACAAATATAAAATATAATATACTGCATTAAGAAAAGCTAGCTGTAATCTCAATATGACTTTAAGTTACCCCATTCTGGAAAATATATAAGTCATTGTCTATGTTCTACACCACATGTGCTATATTTGAAATGAACAAGTTACATACAATTTTGTATCATATTCATTCATATGCACAAGTACTAAAGAAAATATATTAATATTTAAAGATTTGGCTTATTATTATATAAAGTTAGTCATTATTTGCTAAATCAAAGTGATTCCTATGTTCCATTAAACTATTGTGATATGAAATTCCGTAATTAACTAGTACGCCAAGTAATAAATGTATATAATTTTGACCTGTAAAGACCTAATAATCTGCTAATCTGTATTTTGGTGTAATAAGATCAAATTAATTGATTATTGAGATAATTATTGAAATGTGGATCACATTATCCACTGCAGTATGTTAAAATTATTTCAATATGCAATATCTTGTTTTCCATGCTGTACACATTTGTTACAAAGTATATATTTTAGCCATAAGGAGTAAGAGGCGGAACTTACTATATTTAAATTGTTGCAAATGTACCTACCTACTTCATATTGAAGTTTTGAGACAACTAAATTGTTTTCTTGGCTTAGAGAACTATATTTTTGCATTTATACCAAGAAAAATTATCATATAGTTGTGTATATTTCTAGTAGCCTGTACTGGTTTACAAATTTTAGAGTATACTTCTATATATTCAATATTATTGTTAAACAAATAATTTGATCGTGGGTTGCATAGAGTGAGAGAAAAATAATTTAATGTATGGTCAACAACATTTCTACATTTATGTTCATTACTTTTGTTCTGTTGTGCCTTATTCCTTGCATTTAAAGTTTATTATTAATTCTAAAGTTAAACTCCCTATCTAAACAATTTATTATGATAATGTCACAATGCTGAAAAGTTATCTTATATGTATCACGCCTGTTATGTTTTAGACTAGTCCTAATTTTGTTATAAGTCCAATGCCATTATATTAAATAGTGTATTCATCTTCATATCAATGATTCGAAACCAACACCAAGTATGCGACCATTTTATAGATATAATGAAATAACAGGCAAGGATGGTCCATATAATGTTTTAGTTTACAATTATTTATTTATTAGTGTTTGCATAATAAAATTAGTGAGTTGCAATTCTAGTTCTTTATTATGATGTTAACTTTATTTTTGGGTCCAAATTATTCTAAAGAAATTGTTTTATATGATATTTTATAATAATATGCAGTCTATATTTTATATTTAATATTTATTAGGAAGCTTATAAACTTACACAATGACAGATAATTAACAAGAGAGAAAGTAACATTAATAGATTAATCAACATCACACATTGACATTGACATTGACTTTGACATACTTCACCTTCCCCTTTAGCTTACAGATCTAACACCCTTCTAGGCTTAGTAGTTCTACCATATCTAGTAGTTACACTTAGTGGTACTTGATTCCTACAGGTTATTACAGGTCTAGGTGAAATGGGAACATTTAGATTTATATCAGATTCCTGATCAAAATCTTCATCATAATTAGATAAAAAAGGATTGAGTTTCTTTGCACTTTTATAATCTGAAAAAGATTTCTTTATATGTTTAATATTCCTTCTTATTTTCCTATCTTCTCCCTCCTTTTGTATCCAATAAGATCTAGGTTCTTTACATTTTCCCACAATAATACCTTTTCTCCAAAATTTGTCTTTATCAGTCTTATGAACTACCTTATCTCCTATTTTATATTCCATTTCCTTTTTCTTAACAAACTTTTCTTTTTGCAACACTGACTGTTTTAGAAGTAGCAACTTATGTATATTTTCCTCAACCTTCGGATTTAATAATTTTTCATTCATAGGTAACAACGTACGGACTCTATGTTTAGAATTTGAGACGGAGAAACATGCAATGTGGACAATGGTGTATTATTATAACTTAGGACATATTCTCTATAATCAACTTTATCCTCCTTAGCTTTACATAGAATCTTTTTGCTTATATGTACTGCCTTTTCTGCCATACCATTACTCTTTGGGTAATGTGGACTGCTAGTTATTAAACTTATATCTTTACTTTTAAAATATTTTAAACATTCAAAAGAATTAAAAGGGTTATTATCTGCAATAACTTCTTCAGGGTAACCAAATCGCATGAAAACTTCCTGGAATGCATTTATAACAGATGAAGAAGTTTTGTCAGATAATGGCAATACTTCAAGCCAATGTGAAAAATAATCAACTACAACTAAAAAGTATTTTCCACAAAAATCTAATATATCAGTACCTATTTTAGCATATCTTCTGTTTGGAATCTTGTGAAGTAACAAATTATCACTTTTATTAGAATCACTAAACTTTTCACAAGTCCTACATTTCATTACAAAATCCTTAATATCATTTGTAAGACCTGGCCAATAAAATAATTGCCTAGCTTTTTTTATACACTTACAGATTCCAGCATGACCTTCATGAATTAAATTTAATACATAACTTCTCAATGATTTAGGTACAATTATTTTATTTTCTAGGAAAGCAATGCCATCTTCAAAATAGATATCATTTTTTAACTTATAATACTCTTTACACAATTCAGTAATTTTATTCATCTCTGGCCATCCATTAATATAATATTTATTTAATAAACTTAATGTTACATCAGCTTTTGTTTTATTTTGAAAATCTTGTTTTCTTTCTTTTGACATAGGCAAGTGTACAGTAACAGAATGTACTATTTGTGACATTTGATTATCATTTTCTGTAATACTTAGACAATTTCTTGATAACATGTCAGCGAAATGTAATAACTTTCCTGGTACATAATATACATTCAAATTATATGTAAATAATTTTAATCTTAACCGTTTCAAACGAGGAGATCCTATTTTACAAACTGGTTTTGACATAATTGATACAATTGGTTTGTGGTCTGTTTGAACATCAACATTACAACCATAAACATATCTATGAAACTTTTTTATACCAAAACATATTGATAATAATTCTTTTTCTGTCTGACTATAATTAAGCTCTGAATCATTCATAGATCTAGATGCACATGCTACTAACTTTAATATATTTTGATCATTATTCTGAAATAGACAACAACCTAATCCACTTTTACTTGCATCACATTGTAAAATAATTTTCTTTTTGGGGTCAAAAGGTGTCAAAGATGGTGCTGAACATATTTTTCTTTTCAGCTCAGTAAAAGTAAGACTATGAGCAGGTAACCATGTAAACTCAGAATTTTTCTTTAATAAATTGAAAAGTGGTGCCATTATATTTGCCATGTCAGGCACATACCTTCGTACATAATTGAAAGATCCTAATATTTGTCTCAACTCATCTCTATTACTTGGTTCTTTTAAATTAACTAATGACTCAACTCTATCCTGATCAAGTGACATTCCATATTCATTAAAAACTTGGCCTACATATTTAACCTCTCTTTGTTTATATTGAAATTTATTTTTATTGAAAACAATACCTAATTTCTTTGCTTTCTGGATTACACTCTGCAATGCTAAATCATGCTCTTTTTCAGTGTTTCCCATTACTAAAATATCATCAGCCCACATAATAACATTTGACAACTCTGAAAAATGACTTTCAAGTACATCCTGAAATAATTCTGGTGCATTCATTAAACCATATGGTAAAACAAGATATCTATAAACTCCATAAGGTGTAGCAAAACAACACTTCCAAGATGACTCCTCAGACAAACTTAGATGATGAAAGCCTTCAGTTAAGTCTAAAACAGAGAAAAACTTCTTACCCTGTAATTTAAAACTTAAATCCTCCAATGTGGGTAAACATTTAGGTTTTTTTACAATAATTTTATTTAAGTCTAATGGATCGAGACATAACCTAACTTTACGATTTGGCTTCTCTACTATTACCATTCTGTTTATATATGCATTTTCGCTAATATTATTAACTTTAACAATTGATTTTCTCTCTACTAATCTATTTAGTTCTGCTTTTAAAGGTTCAAGCAAACAAGATGGTAATCTCGGAGAAGGATGACAAATATATTCTTCTGTAGCTCTGGTAGGAATTTCAACTTTTCCTGGCAACCTTCCTATTCCTTCAAAAACTACTATATTATTATTTACAAATTTATCTTTATCATTATTTGTCACCTGAACACTATGAATTCGTTTCACCAAATTTAATGAGACACATGCCGGCAAACCTAAAAGTATGTTACTTGCTTCAGCTATGACAAAATTCTCATTACATATTTTATTTTTATACTTGCATTTAAGATTTACAATGCCTATTGGCTTAATATTTTCTCCAGTAAAAGATTGTACTGTTAACTCTGTCTTCTGAATTTTACAATTTAACTTATAATTTAATTTATCAAATACACTCTTTGGCAGAATACTCACATCCGCTCCTGTGTCTAGCTTGCACTTAAAAATTTTGTCCTCTATTTGTATATTTTCTTCCCACTCACTTCTATTCTTTTTTATATTTGACAACACTACTCCACAAAATAACTCTTCATTTGATGAATTTGATTTATTACACACAGCTTCACTTATTTTCTTCACTTTACAGCTCACTGCGAAGTGATTTAATATACCACATTTTGCACATTTTTTTCCATATGCAGGACACTCTCTCGGACCATGCTGACTTTTACAACGACGACAATCAAATTTATTATTTATATTTCTTTGAAACTTCTTCTCAGTTCTTTTATTTCCATAACTCTTTACTCTATCTACTTCAATACAGGTTGGATTCATTTCCATTACTTGAGAACGGCTAGCTTCTGCTGCTCTGCATCTACTTGTAGCTTTGTCCAACGTCAAGTTCTCGACTCGGAGCAAACTTTCTTGTAATTGTTTATCGAAAATGCCTTGAACGATACGATCTCTTAGTAAATCATCCTCTATAGACTCTATATAATTACAATTTACAATCAGTAACCTTAAATTAGTGTAAAAACTTTCAAAATTTTCACCTTCCAATTGTTTTCTTTCATTAAACTTGTACCTTTCAAAAACGTCGTTAGATTTAGGCTTGACATAATTCTCAATTTCTTGTAACACTTTATTGTAGTTTTCACTATCTTCCTTTGATAACTTAAACGATAATATGATTTTCGTCGACTCAGGACCCATCATGTTCCTCAGCAGAGATAATTTAATTTGGTCTGTAGCCTTGTCACTACCGACAGCCACTAGATAATCTATAAACATGCTTTTCCAAGCTCTCCATTCAGTTGCTGCAGATTGAGTTCGAATGTCGAAGTTTGGGGGCAATTTCACCCAGCTACGCTCCATGTTGTTTGAAATTTTAATCCGTGGTAAGCTTCAGATTTGATATCGTTATAGCCGAAATACACTGTTTAGACTTACAGTAAATACCACTGCGCCATGTTTTATATGATATTTTATAATAATATGCAGTCTATATTTTATATTTAATATTTATTAGGAAGCTTATAAACTTACACAATGACAGATAATTAACAAGAGAGAAAGTAACATTAATAGATTAATCAACATCACACATTGACATTGACATTGACTTTGACATACTTCAGAAATCTTATTAATTAACAAATAAAAATTGTTTTTTGTTATAACAAAATAAGAAGCAATTTTAACAAGGAGTGTAAAGGAGGTAAGTTTTAGTATAGGCGGCGGCACAAACGGAGAGTTAGGTGCATTCAAGACATTACTAGGCTAAATTAATCATGAAAATTAAATGTTTTATATTTTTTCCATTCTGTTCTTTGAAATAATATTTAAAAGTATCATTGTATCAAATTATTGTATTATAGCATTTTTATAAACTGTATAACGTAGTACGAATGCTAGGTCTATATGTGTACCTACTACCAGTTAAAAAAAAATAGTTATGTTTTGAATGCACCAGAAAAAATATCAAATAAATTGTAAATTTAGAATATAGCTGACAGACATGGTTCTACCAGAGTTACCTCACCGATAGTGATTAGTTATCAATTTTTGAATAGTACGAAATACATTGTTCAGAGTAAATAATCTTTTTGTTTCCTATATACATTTATGTTCGATAGTCAGAACCGACATCATATTAAGTCAAATGGTATTAAGAAGTATATTTGTTTGTTTATTCAAACACACTTTCGATAGGAATACAATACCTTATTAAGTAAACTAATTTGAGAAACTCGAGAATTGAATTGTTAAACGCGTTAGAGAACATCGTGACCCAGTGATTTCCTACTCGATTTCGGTCCCAAAGATCAAGATTTCAAATGTGACCGACATCAAAAAAACCTTGTCAATTTGTAATCCTAACTCTTTAGTAATAGGTTATAACACCAATGTAGTACTATAGATGACAGTAGGCTCGCCCACTGCCACGTCGAATTCTGTATACCCCGCGAAACGTGGACATGTCAAATCTGATGGAGTACTTTATTAGTACTCCTATAATAAAAATCTGGGAAGTGCTCTGCGGGTCCATCACTTACCGCTATAATAACATTTTAACGTTCTTTGCTAAAGAAACGAACAAGGGTATGCAGTTTAAAAATAGACCTGAAACCGTAGTCATATAAAGGAGTTCTTTATTAACCACACTGAAATAATAACTATCAGTATTTGAAGTATCGCCAAAATTCCTTCATAAACAACTACTTCAATTTGCAGTCCCATTTAACAAGTGTATTTTGTCTAAGTTAAGTGAATCCTATTCACGTTATCGTTCTACTACAGTTTCAGTAATTTTCGTGGTATCGTTACAGTACCAAGGACAATCAACCTAGCTGTTATTCTTATTTTAGCCCGCCAATTACATGATTTAGCTTCCATTGTTTTGTTTCTAAACAGGTGAGCTATGATAATGTTATTGTCACAGATAAAATGGCAATTATTCATTGTATTATATTATTACTTTTTATTTACGGAAGGGCATAGTTTATTATGTTACAATGGCACTTTTTCAAACACAAATTATGGAAACGACCCTTTAATGTTTAGAGACTTCTTTTGGTTATCTCATAGGACTGCAGCAAGAACTCGGTGTGCGTTGACAATACTATGCGCAGGTGAGTTGCGAAACTTGCTAGTGCTTATAAATATAAAAACATACGTTCACGACTGTTCTTCCAGAGTATCCTGTACTAAGAGTAGGTAATATCGGCTTTGCCAGAATTATCTTCATGCAAATTTGCACTGTAAAGTGTTAAATTAAAAATTAAAGGATTCTGTTTCGTTGAAAGTGAAACAGTCAAGTCAACAAGGTATAATCAATATCCCGTAAGGCTGGACAGAGCCAGTACCGCTCGAAACATTTCATACTGCCGGGTTATGAATGATTTGAAATGCCGGCCGAAATAAATTGATTTTGGCGGAGGGATACTCCGCCAAAATCAATTCATTTGGCAAGATTTTATAACGACAGCGTTATACGCATGTGTGCTGTTAACGCTGACGGTGATAAAATGTGTATGATATTAGGTCAATTAGACTATGTAATAATTATCTTATCCTGATAACCATCTAAATACATACCTAAACCTAAAAGATAAATTATATGTATTTAGATGGTTACCAGGATGAACCGCATGTTCGACGACCTACATTGTTAGCAATGGAGTCTCTCTCTTGGCCTATCATTAGCAATCCCTTTATCTCCTCCCTCCCCCCTATAAGTTGGGCTTATAAACAGCGTCTAAGCACTCTGTGATAATGCGCATTTGCTACATAGATTTCGTAGGAGACGTTTTGTATGTACATATAGTATAGGTATAGTTTACATAATGCTCGGGTAAACTAATATGAGTAGTATATACTATACTACTATATTTCTTTTATTTATATATTACTGTTTTCAGTTTTAAACCGCTTTTTTTACTACCACATGTTTCTACTAAAAAATAAAAACACAGTATAACATATAAAAAACGGGCTATAATTACTATATTAATTTCTGAGTAAATAACCACCGTGCTTATTATTTGAAATAATAGTACTTACCACAGCTTCAAGAGAGTACTACGGTCTATGTAATTAAGTAGGTATTGTACACATTAACAAATTTCATACATTGACATCATTTGTCATAAATCAAAGAATAATTTAAATCTAATATATAATGAGCTTAGGAATTAATGTATGATATACTTAAATCTCAATAAAATATGTACATAGTTCAGTGCTTTGCGATTTTTTGTTCAATCAGCAAAATTCAGGCTCTTCTTTGTTTCAACTGTTCTTGCACTGGTCGAGACTGGACGAGCTGTGGTGGAAGTTTCGCCCCGATCAATCTAGCATTTAATGGCAGTCGACTTATGTTAACGAATTGCTCTGGAGGTATTTAGTGTGGCTTAATTATAACACCGTTACAATTTTCTATTTATAATAAATAATAACTGATGATTTTCTGAACTATTCGAGACCTGTACATGCAAATTTGTAACGAGATGTAAGTTGTATGATTGCAACTGTGAAATTATTCGTATATAATTCCAAATTTTGTAGATTTTAATGTTTCAAAAGAAAATTGTTAATAATATCATTAGGCGTTGTTTTAATAAGGGCTATATAGATTTATGTAAATATATGCCTAGACCAGGGTAACTATAATTTATATTTCGAAATGTCTCAAGTTTATTTATATTTTTATTTTGTATTTCAGAAAACGCCATGTGTTTCACACGGTCGTGGTCATCTCGAGCACATTACGCGTGGATGGTACAGCGTGGTTGCTATCAGACTATTGAAGAAGATCCTATTCTTGAAACTGTAACAATTCCAACCAGAGCTATGACATGTAAACACGAAAGGTAATTAATTACAGCTTGCATATATATCAAGGACATTAATTTCATGTTGAGTATAAGTAAATGTATAAAAATTATCTTAATATAATACACCGTTTGTTATTTTAACAGATTGGCTGACGCTGAATATAAAGTTTGTATCTGTCAGGCTGATTGGTGTAATGGAAGTACCAAAGTCCTACATCAAGTGCAATGTCTTGCTTTGAATATGTTTTTTTTAAGTACATATTCTGTTCTTCTACAATATATGTTGTATATATAAGGTATATGTAACCTGTGTATCTACGTACAATTACAGAACCTTTGGTCGTCCATGATCAGATAAGAACGGCTCACCCACAGCTAACCCTTCAACGTTGAATACTCCTTATAGAGGTACAGTGGATCGCAATAAATGCGAGTTTATCGGTTTATAAGCAGCTTTCACTTTATCTAAGTTGCCTGCATCTATTTCTGCGAAAAGGATGGTAAGAAATCTGTATGTTAGTGGGCCGCGTCCGCTGCCTCGCACGTCTTTTTTGTAGACGTGCGTCAATGTACACCTACATAATTAGAAGAATAGAAAAGTTTCCTTCACCATATTGTTTAGGAAAATTAAATACTTAGAAAAGTTTTCTCACCTAACTATATATGGATGATTAAAGAAAAGCAAAGGATAACAAAACTGCCGGTATTATTGCAGCGTTATTTATTACTTCTACTTATTTTACATAAAGAGTAATATAATAGGCTTACAGCCTTTCAGTCGTAAATATATTTTTTATTGTTTAATTTATTCTACAAATATAAATACTTCTTTGTATCCATCAACTAAAAACAGGATTTGTCTCAAACAAATACAGTCATATTATATGATTAATGATTTTCAACTTCCTGCCAAATAACGAGTTTTAAGTCATTATATGGATATTATATTCGGGTAACTATAAACTCGGCCACCCAAACAAATTTGGGCACTGTACTAAATATTTTGTCCCTATTAAATATATTTAATATGTATTCACTGGCGTTTACTCACGTCTCTTCATCGTCATGTTCACTGTCAACATCATCTTCGAGTTCATCGACTACTGATGATACATCACTGGTTACTGCTTGCGCTATTAATCCCGTTATACCAGTCGTGTTTCGTTTTCCATTTAAAAAATTGTAAACATATTCTTCAATTGTATCTTCATCAAATGGCAACAAATCATCTAAGTCGATTTGTCGTTTATTGCGTTTTTCTTGTACGATTTTATTCGACGAGAAATATGCATTCTCATCGCTATCTACTATACCTTTTCTATAAACTTCTATGGGAACCTCACTACCGTCACTTACATCATATTTAATACCGATATCAGCCTCTTGAATTTCAATTGAACCGTAACCTTTATCCACAAGTGCTTTTAAGTTTTGCGTTCTACTTACTCTATTTGTTGTTTTCTCAGATTTTTTCTTTTCTTTAATGGGATGTAGATGTTTAACTTCATTCGTTTCATTTGGTTTTGGTATCTCATTATTTATTGTGTCGTTGTCATATCTGAATGTAGGTTGGGAACTATATGTTTTTACTTTTGAATGACCTTGAATAATTAAATACATGGGAATAGAAGGCGATAGCGTAGTGGCCTTAGTTTCTGAATCGTCAACTGTCATTTCAGTAGACATTGGAGTAGTAAATCGCATATTTAAATAAGGATCATAACTGTGTGTATTAGATGTTTTAAAAGAACTAGATATCGGCCGATTATGATGGAATGGTTGAGGGATTATTGGGCTGTCTATCAATGTATTTAATGGAGGTGGTTGCATTGTTTTCATTGTTTCAATTTGTTCATCATCTTTTTGTTCTTTATAAACTTGTAAATTTTCTGAAGCATGTGCATAAAGAGTATCCTCTGGCCTATCAGGTCCATTTACTAAGGGCATGCTCATCATTGGACTCAACATGTCTAAAAAGCCTTTTTCAGGTTTTTTTATTAAAGGAGTTGGAACAGTAGTTGGTTGAAATGGGACAGCGGTTTGTTCTTCAGTTGTTGTATCCTCATAGTAATCTCTTTCTGTCGTTGTTTCTATAGTAGTTTTGTCAGTTGAATGTTGTGGTACAATGAATGTGGTGGTTTCCTCAGTTAACGGTGGTGCAGTTGGGAGAAATGTTGGTAGAAGTAATGGACTCAATGTTATTTGTGGCGGTGGGGGTGCTTCTGATAACATTGGTTTATAAAATGAATACGGGTGCTTAGATAAATTTAAAATTTCACTAGATATTAAGTTATGGGTATCATTCACAATCTCAATGTTAGTCGTAGGCGTTGTTGGTCCCCATCCAGCATAGTCACTGCTTACAGCATTTGGAATAGGTTGCGTATGATTGTAGTCTGAAATCCAGTTGTTATTAATTGTAGAAGACTGATATATTAGGTTAGCTTCTTGTAAAGCGTATGACGAAGTCACGTAGCTTGGACCAGCCGTAACGTCTTTGGTTACCAAAGTTGGAGACTCTGTCAATTTTATTGGCGTTGTAGGAGTCGGTATTTTATCTTCTGGTAAAATATAAAGTGATGTTTGATGACCGACTGGCGGAGGTGGTGGTGGCACAAGTATTGTCATTGGTAATCGTTCGCTCATTTTATATGTAAACTCTTCATATTTTGGTGGTGGTGGTGGTGGGAGTGGAGGTCTTTGATGTCTCCTGGGCATTGAAGGTTGCCGTGGTGATACACTTGGTCTACGTGATGATACTCCTAACATGAGGACTTCGGCCTTCTTTTCGGGGTAGTGTTCACGTTCAAAACGCGTTTCATCTGCCCAGTAATGAACACGTTCGAGCAGAGGCGGTTCATAATCATAAGTAGGATCATTCCGTAATGGATCCCCGCGACCAGTTAGGGGCTTCCATTGGTCGAAGTCCATACGGGGTGAAAATATAGATGCTAATCCGTTGAGATTTGTTTTTTCTGTGTGATCTGAAAATATAATATACCACTGATTTTATTACGTCATCTAAAAATCGTTCAATACATTAATACAAAATATAGTTGTGAAAAGGTATAATTCCGAATAGGATAGTCATTTTAAATACTTATTATTTATCATATTGTTACGGTTATACCCGCAACTTAGGGAACACAGTGATGGCGTCATATTAATATAAAATCAGTGCGCGAAATTTCTTTCAAATCCTTTTATTAGATTTGTACATTAGGCAAATATCTATTCAACCATTCTGTGTTATACCTATACCTAACACTAATAGAAATGAAATTACTATTGTAGCTAATTAGGGTTAAATAGTCACAAATAAAAAGCTATCTTTAATTCAAATTATAATCACCTAAGATTCAGTATTTCTTATCTGGATTCTCATCATATCACATCGTTTCTTGGCATATTATATACCTACTTACTATGCTTGTTACTAGTAAATAAAAGCTACCAACATTTATCACATGATAAAAAACTAACTATGATAACAAGTTACTACTTACAAGATATATTAGCAAAGTGTTTTGAAGGTATAGTACCCATGTGTCCGAGATCACCAGTTGGCGATGATGAATGCATTATACTTGCTAATAGTAGTATCAATTTAGTCATATTTCTCTGTGAACAAAAAGAACATTATAATTCGATTGTGTGCTGGATAGCATTTTCGGGGACTGGCACCGATACGATCCACAAAACCACCTAATTAGAAAATCTCAATCACATTTATTTAATAATTATTATTTTGAATTATCTACATGATATATTAAGTTTAATTATATGTATATTTTATTTGCTCTTTTTTTTCGTTTATTGTTTATATTGTATTTTTTACATTGCACTGAATAAATAAATTTTCTTTCTTTCTTTATTTGAATTATTATCTGTATATATGATTTTTTCTATATCTTACGTAATATCATCTTTTTATAGCAATAACAATTTACTAATCTTTGATAATTAAAATAATATGACTTTGTACATAATTGCAGCTTAAAAAGTTGACAATAACGTAGGTACTAATAAGTTAATGTTTTGTAGGCTACGGGCTTCGGCAGATTTCGGTTCAACGAATACAAGCTTGTTAAAATACCAAACCACGTCGGAAAACGCTGAAGCCGCTTCTCAATAATTTAAAATTGTAACCATCATACATAAGTAAGTAGGTAGGTAAATGCTTAAAATGTATTCATTAAAAGCTGTTCGTTATAGAAAAATGTTGACTCACTTAAAAGAGGAAAATGTGTGTTAATTAGTTGCAGTATTCATGTACAGCGTGTATTGGGTGGTAGATTTATCATATGACTCCTTATTTATATTTTTCCGTTTTTAATAAATTGTGTTTACTATAGGTAGAAACATTATATATTTTTATCACTGAATAAGTTAACGCAAAATTTGTGCAGCTTTGAATCGTAATTTCTTTCCTAACAAATTTATTTATTTTTATTTTATTGCTTTACCTACTATTGTGATAATCTGTTTATAATTGCAGTAACTGACAAAGTTTATGATACTGAATAATTAAAAAAATATATATTTTGTATGCCTAATAAGGCAAAACATATTGGGACATTATATTTCACAATCAAAAGTCATATAGGTACACTACCTATGTTACGCAAAATAAATTTGATTTCATTCAAATAATATAAAAGTTAATTGGGGCCACAATACGAGTACATAATTTAATAGGCATAGTTTTTTAAAAAATGGAGTTTGGTTATAATTTGAAATAATCATTATTACCAGACTTCATGTCGCCATAAACTTTATAAGTCTATTTTTCATCCAATCTAAATCGTCGTCATAGGTACTTAAGTATTTATAATAATACTTTTATTAATAATTTGTATAAAATTATTAATAAAAGTATTATTATAAATGTATTATTAAAAAAACTTAGTAATAAATATATACTTTTATCTTAAATTTATTACCTACGTACGTTTATAGATATATATCGTTCATCCATTAATCCCCATTACTAACAATTGCTATATATCCTATCATTTCGATTACCAAAGTACTCGCCTTGGAAACCAACATGCTTATGGACTAACCTTACTTATTTCTCGTATCATCGTCTTCCACAGGTGCCACCTATTATGCCTACTATTGGCGTTAGCACACGCGGATGCATCATACTGCATCATATATAATACGTAGATAGTGTATGATGATGACTACAACTAAAACACGTTGACTAATTATGCCTTAATTCGCTTATTTCCGAAGTTTGCAATATATAAACATTAACAGGATACAATGGTTGTGGTTTCAGTGAAAGCTTCTTTCTGTTACATGACAGCATATCATGCTTTCATCTAATTTTCTCATAAGTGTTATAATCGCAAAAACAACTGCCTTTAATAAAGAAAATCGGTACTATTATTTTTTATAACAACTGGTACATTGATAGGCTACCTTAACAAAAGTTCTGCTGTTTATATCAGTACATATTATTACTACTAAGGATTCATGTGCTTAGGTTATGTCAATAATAACTAAATTCAAATTCAAATTCAAAAATCATTTATTCATGTAGGACATTTTAGCCGCTTATGAACGTCAAATTTTTACATTATAATTTTATTTTTTCCCTACCGTCCAGTTCGGTATATAGATCCAATTGAGAAGAACTGGCAAGAAACTCAATTGAATTACTTTTTTTTTAAAAGCCAGTTTATTTACAATGTATTTTTATATAGGTGTCTATGTCTAACATTAAATGAAAATTCAGTGCATGAGCAACTATTGCCATGCACACTCGTCATTCAAGTAATCGTTTAGTGAGTAATAGGCTTTGCTCAGTAAATAAGATTTAACTATGTTTTTTATATTTAAATGTTTTCCTTATCTACTATATCGAATATATATGTATATATTATAGTATAATTTTGAGGAATAATTCCTCAAAATTGTACTATATACGTCCTATATATAACATTCTCGTGTCACAGTTTTCGTTCCCATACTCCTCCGAAACGGCTTGACCGATTCTCATGAAATTTTGTGAGCGTATTGAGTAGGTCTGAGAATCGGCCAACATCTATTTTTCATACCCCTAAATGTTAGGGGTAGTCCACCCCTAAATTTTAATTTTTTATTTTAGGGCAAAACGTTTGCCAGGACAGCTAGTAATATATAAACTCAAATTTACTTATTAAATACCTATATAGAAAAAATGTTACTTAATAATAGAAGTATATACATGTATGTATTCTTTCTAAGGCGTTACCAAGTGCGCTACTAAACGATACGTGTACCTAGTCTCCCGGCACGTTCAATAAACATTTGGTCGAAGTACAATGTCGGCTTTCCATTTCAACTTCTATGCCATTGTGGTTGACGAATCGTCTAACTTTACAAACTGAATGAAATTTATATTATGACCACGTGCTACTCAAGTTTAACCGGTGAAATTGTAGGTGTAAGATGACTTGTGTACATTGTTTCGTCCTACTTGAGTTGTATTATTATAATGTACGTACGCATGTATATGGCATACATGCGTACGGTAGGTATAAAACGTGCTAAATAACTAGATGATACCTCAGATATCGACTGTGTGACATTTGTTGCCGATGGCAACCTTTTTGATAGTTTTTATGTTTTTTATATATATTTGAATTTTATATTTTGACGTTCTGTTTTTATATACTATTTGTTTTCTTATGCCATATTGTCTTTATATTTTTGCTAGCGAGCTGATTACAGCTATTTTACCTCACCTAAGAACGTGTCTCATTTTTAACCAGCCTTAATACAGTCCATCCTTCCTTCCTTAACATTGTGGTCCTTTCTTTCGCCGTCTTTAGTATTATAATATATTTAAAAATTCTAAATTTTTCTCCGACATGAAGACACGTTCCCAAACGAAGGGTGAGAGTAGTCAGCCAAGAGCGGAATCCTCCGCGGATATAGTTGGTGAGGAATCCAGCGCGCCGCTCGAAACAACGGGCGCAGCACGCTCTTTTATTTCAGGTTCCACAACTTCATCTTCCACTGTCAGAGCCCGTTCCGTAGCCGCTCAAATCGAGCATGCAAAAAAGCTCTTGGATTTGGAACGAGCCGCAGCTGCGAGAGAAGCGGAGCGCCAACAAAAAGAAGCGGAGAGAGAACGACAATTACAACAAAGAGAACGTGAGGTACTCGAATTGGAGCTATCCGCTCAACTAGCTGAGATTGAAGCTGAAGATGAACGTAACAGTCGACGTAGCGTACGTTCGTCTATTAAATATGTCCAGGGTTGGCTCAACAAATGTGTGGATGTTGCAACGGAGCCTAGGGAGGTGGTCATTCCCAGTCGTACTGCCCCTGTTGGTATTCAAGCCACCGGTAGTTCGGCTCTTGTGGATTTCCTACCTTCTACAACGTATCCCCGCAGTCGTACCCCTGTTTCGGAGGTCGCTTATTCGCGCCTCGGTACGTCTGCCCTTGTGGATCGCGTCTCTGTTTCTAATAAATTCACTAACAGACATTTGACTTTTTCAGAGCCCCAATCTACATATCTTCAATCTTCAGGTCCTATTAATGCGGTGCTGGCTGAATCATCGGCACAGTGTAGTTACCAGTGTCCTCAGGGAACAGTGACTACAAATCAGTACCCAGAAAGTAATATTTGTTGTAAAAATAATACGCTCACAGGTAATTCAGATATTCGTTTATTAGCAAAGGCAATAACAACTTTAACAAATAATAACTGTCCTTCTCAACATATAGCTAATCGCCTACCTCCCTATGATGGTAAGCATTTAGATTCGTTTATTTTTAATTGGTCACTTTTAGCTGATTTTTTGACTAGAGAGGTAAATATCCAGTTGCAATTTAGCATCATCATTAATCATCCTGGCAGTTCTTTCGATAATTATTCTAAAATAAATTCTAAAATGAAAAATTCATCATCACATACATTATCTTTGAGTGACAATGTTGATAATATGCATGACAAGACATTAACATGTCTTTATTGTCAGCAGTGTCATGTAATATATATGTGTATAAAATTTCTTTCACACCTCAAAAGAGGTTTGAGTGGTGTAAAAATGAAAAAGTTTGTAATAGATGCCCTTAAGAAAGATTTACATAGATATAAATATTGTACTAGAGGGGATTGGTGTAATAATTCGGAGTGTATATATATGCATCATAAACTTTTACATTTTTTGTCGGGTGTGTCGGGGTCCTCCGTCAGTAATAATTATTTTACTATAGAGGATATATCTAAGCAAGACCAACCTCGAGCACAGATTTCCTTGATTTCCGTAGTTTTTCCTTCGATAATGACAGCCGAAAAGTATGAAAAAGAAACGGTTGCTCATTCATTTATTGGTCAGACTGTCAATGAACTTAAGGCTTTACGGCCATTGTTGTGTGGTTTTTCACATACGTCAAATAATGTACCAGGGACGGATTCAGAAGTTAATGTAAATTATTATTTAACAACTTCTGACACTTTAGAAATAGACAAATTAAATAAAAATAATTGTAAGTTAGACCCGACAGGAATAGGTACTAAAATGTCTACCTCTTCCGCAGACACGCGAGCGATTTCTGTTTTATTAAATTTGGCACTACTGATGGGCAATCGTAGCCAAACTACGAGGTCGGCAGCTTCACGAAGCCTCACATGTTTACCTTCTTCAACAACTGAAGAGATACAGCGGACTGGTTGTCGGAACCATACGCCAGAGCCAGGTATCTTCATGCACCGAAGAGCTAGCAGCAATAAGCTACTGTGGTCTGCCAACACCTCGAGGTATTAAAATAGATGTTGCAATATTGAGTCGTTTCGAGAAGAGGGACACTACTACAAAATTATCTGGGATAACTTGCACAGCCTTTCTGAGTACTATGACAGTTCCTGAGACATTGAGTAAACTGTATGGTTAGAGTATTTTAGATACCGCAGCCAATTACAACATTCGTTTACGCTTTATCTCTTCTGCAGCACCGTTTATGGGTGGCACTTGGGAACGCCTAGTTAGATGCGTGAAGTGCGCCCTGAAGTCATCATTGCATTTACGCTACAAGTATTATTATTGTAGATGCAGAAGTCTTAGCCAATTCACGTCCCTTGACCCATGTCTCTGATGTTCCCTTGTGCACGCTGGTTTTAAGAACATTAAAATTAATACCAAAATCAAGGACTGATAGAAATTCTAGTCCCCTACGCGTCGGAGATCTGGTCCTAATTTTAGAGAGTAACCTTCCTCGAGGTAGCTGGCTTAGAGGCAGAGTTTCGGCGGTCCATCCTGGCTACGATGGGGGTGTACGTGTCGTCGACGTTCAAACGGCTGGCGGAACACTACGTCGAGCTTCTAAGAGGCTGGTGCGGTTGCCCATCAGCTAAATTGGGGAGGATGTTGCCGATGGCAACCTTTTTGATAGTTTTTATGTTTTTTATATATATTTGAATTTTATATTTTGACGTTCTGTTTTTATATACTATTTGTTTTCTTATGCCATATTGTCTTTATATTTTTGCTAGCGAGCTGATTACACCTATTTTACCTCACCTAAGAACGTGTCTCATTTTTAACCAGCCTTAATACAGTCCATCCTTCCTTCCTTAACAACATTAAATATATCATAATGTGATATGCCAATTTTTTTTGGCAGTAGAAATTTTAGTTGTTTATCATTTAACTGTTTATTTGGACTGTAAAACAGCAGTGCATGCGATGTTATCTTAAAATCTACAGCTTAGGCTCTATTATCACTAGGAGAATGAAAAAAATGTAGGCACACACTATAGGGTCTATCAGAACATTGTCGACTTAATTTCAATTAAGAAATATAATAAAAACTGGGGACCTTTTGAAAGTATCTTCTATCTATTTATAGTATATATAACCGTTTACTTTAGTGTTACAATAACAAAAAGTAGTCCACATTTTATTTTTATTAGATATAATATTAATAATTTATTGAAAAATTGTAACTTTAATTATTTACCTATTGGTATTTATTTGGAGATACCCGGCAGTAGTTTTTTTCCAGACAATTCAACTTGTGTGACATAATAACAATAAAATATCTATGTGAATAGTGCAAAAAGTAACATTTATGTACGTCGATTAAATTTCTAATTTAATCAACACGCAACCTTGTAGTTGATTGAATTCGCTATGTAGATAGATACTACCATGATACATCACTTCAACATTTGTAATTACGTAAATTTGAAGACATGTTTGTTAGATAATAAATTAATTTATTATGTTACGCAAAATATCACTTTTTTTTGAGATTTGAGATTGTTATAC